CACACACACACATTACACACACACACACACACATTACACACACACACACACACACACACACACACACACACACACACACACACACACACACACACACCACACACACACACACACACACACACACACACACACACACACACACACAACACACATTACACACACACACACACACAACACACCACACACACACAACACACACACACACACACACACACACACACACACACACACACACACACACACACACACACACACACACACACACACACACACACACACACACACACACACACATTACACACACACACACACACACACACACACACACACACACACACACACACACACACACACACACACACACACACACACACACACACACACACACACACACACACACACACACACACACACACACACACACACACACACACACACACACACACACACACACACACACACACACACACACACACACACACACACACACACACACACACACACACACACACAACACACACACACACACCACACACACACACACACACACACACACACACACACACACACACACACACACACACACTTTAAATTTATATTCACTTCAGTTTTTTATTTTTTCAGAATGATTAAATGTAACCTTTTTGGTATGCTATATATGAGGATAGCAATAACAAATCATTTGTTTCTTACAGGCAGAATTGGCCGTTTTAGTGTTTCTGATTTTTATTTTATCTCAAGCCTTTACAGGATATAGTTTTATGTATATCAGGAATTCAAAGTGGTCTTGTTGAAGTTGTAACTGACAGTAAAACTTGTCAAATAAGATTTAATGGACACCCACACATCTTCGTACCTTTTATTTGACTCAGATTGAAGTTCTTCTTGTGAAAGTACTTCAAGTTAATTTTACACAGATGATGAATTTTGAAGTACATAACATATTCGATTATTGAGCAAAGTATGGATGAATTTCAGAGAGTTTTTCTTTGTATTTTATTTTTAGGTTTGTCCCATGTCGTCATGTGTTTGAATTATGTGATTTTCCCCATTGGGTTGAAATGTTCTGTTTGTTTGCTGTAAGAAGAAAAGTTATTAGGAATGTTATTATAATGAATTTCAATTTCATTTCAAATCTTGAAAATCATGAAAAAGATCATGAAGTGTCTTCAGTTTTTGCCTTAGCTAAAATATGATACTTTTGTTAGTTGTATAACATAATTATTTATTAATTTTGTTGGAAAGTTAGATTGTGAAAACAAAATTCCAGTGATTTTTGTTATTTGATTTATATCAATTACTAGAACATTTACTTTGTTTATCAAAGCATAAACCTGAATTTTAAACATTTTTAGAAAATCAGAGAGTTCCCAGCTCCATATGATGTCATAGACAAATTTCGTGAGTATGCACAAAGTCCGGTGTCCAAGAGAGCAATTTAGTTCGTAAACTTTCTTTGTAAGAACTCAAGTAGAGTATCAGGTAGTATGCAGAGTTCTCATAGAATGTGTGAAATGTATGTATATACTGTATGCTCAGTGTTATGAAAATACAGCCATGTATTTTTTGTACCTATCTCTACATTCTGTAGAATGAATGAATTAAAAGCCTTTTTAATAAGATTTCTAGATCTGGTTTGTTAATGATGTAAACATTGTATCATTTGAAGGAAGTATCTTTTTGAAATTATGTTCAAGTTCACTCTCAAAATTAAAATTAAGATTGATGTGCTGGGACTTGTGGCAACGGTAGCTATGTGTCCATCTGTGCTTCCCTGAAACACCTCTGTATGGTGTTTTCATGACTGTGTTGTAGGGAGGCACATTATACCTGTAAATAGTTTATTCCAGCTCATGGATATTTTGTTAAGTTGATTTCCTCCTGAGTATCTCTCCTTATTATGAGATTGAAACAGATACAATGTCAGTACGTGTTTCTTTTATTTATCCATCAAAGTAAGAGATATTGATGATGTATTGAAATAACCACATCCAGCTCTAAATTTATTTTCAAGTTTAGTACTCAGCACTATGCCTGCTCTTAATAATGTCCTACAAATGTGAAAGTTCACTGATATACAGATTCTGTGTTGTAAATATTAGAGTCCGACTTTGTACGGCCAGTCAGGATATGTAACATGTCCTCTTGCAAGCGATCCATTTTGAATGCTATGTGCCAATCATTAAGAGCTCTATGAAAATTTATACTGTAAATCACATGGTTTCAGTCAGCATCATTATGAAAAAAACAATTAGGTTGTCCAAATAATTGTTTCTCTCTTATGTCACTACTAGTGCAAAACATGTAAGCATCTGTTCTGTGGCAGTGAGTAACCATTGTGAAAAGAAAAATTTTATAGAGCACTGGAATGGTTGAAAGAATCTGATTTGCTTGTAAATATTTTTTTGATGCCTCCAGGACATTACTTTGTAGCTATAAGGTTTGATTCACTCGTTAGCTGAGTAAGTGGTATCTAGCTTTACATTTTTGCTACTTTGAT